AAACCCTAATTTGGGGTTGACTGCCTTAGGAGATAGCTTGACTGTCCAACTCTTGAGCAATCTTGAGCCACTTGGAGATTTTTCTTGCCATGTTTTGAGAAATATGGGAGGGAAAATTTTGGGGTGCAACACACATCATCTAAGTGAGGAGGGGTAGTCCTCATAAACAGATCATGTATAGGTTCTTCACGAGAATATGGCATTTTCAACTGAATTTATCTTGCTTGTACCCAACGGAGATGAGGCTCCAAGGAAACAACTCCTCTTGGTCCCAAAGTCTTTTCTACCTTTTCTATGAATATGGCGCCAAGCCTTCTCAATCTCCTTCTTAGCTTCTTTATGATCTTCTCCTTCTTTGAGAAAGAAACCACTCAGATGGATGCTATTTGGCTTGTCTCTCATTGGATATCCAACTTGACAACGCGCAAGACCGGGATTGTAGTTAACTCCTCCCTTTGTACCAAGATGAGACACATTGGGGAAACTACCACAACTATCAATAATCTCCACATCATGATAAACTTGATGATACCAATCAATGTCATAATGAGTGAGAGCCATAACCCTCGGGGCCCAACAAGGTTCCTTCTTGATATCCCAGAAAGCAACAGTCTGAGGTAAGTGAGAAATGAACCCCTGATATAACAACGACGTGCAAAATATGATCATCCCTCCTTGATAGTAATTCCGAAGATGGATGGAATAATAAGTATCTCCTAGAAATGTAGGGACTGGATTCCTAATCAGAAAGATTCTAATGGCATTAACTTCCACAAATTTGTCGATGTTAGGAAACAAGAAAAACCCATAGGCAATCCAAGCAAAGATAGCCTCAAAATCAATTGTACTCTTCATCTTGGAAAACTAGCGAGCTTTCTCCAATAAAAAATGAGAAGATAAACCCCTGATTCCTCCTTTGGTAGTCATGTTAGCCTCGATCTCAAACTTCCTCAAGTGGGTTATGGTAGCAATCTCATGATACCTGGGCTCTCCTTCTAAGCCAGTGAAAGGAACATGATAAATAATAGGTAAACCAAGTAAGTAAGAATACTTCTCCAATATGGGAATCAACTAATAATCAAGGAAAGTAAAACACTGACACAACTGATCATAGAACTGGACCAATGTAGAAAGAATATCCTCCTTCATCTTGAGCTTCATAAGAGACACGAAGGATCCATACTTCTTCCGAAAATATGTAGATCTCTCAATCTCAAGAATCAAACTCATCAGATCCCCTATCTTAGGATCCTTGAAATTGTACTTCCAAGTCTCTCTCTTTCCAAAGTCCATGGTAAAAAAGTACTTGAGATATTTGCAAAAGTCAACTTTAAGTTCCTTGAGTCAATTGTTTTAAAGAATGCTTATGGTGCATGAATGCATGATCCAACAATCACATACAAGATCACAAACATGGGGGGAGGGGGGTTCATATGTTCGACGTCACAAGCATGAAGTCAAAGGTACTACCTACAAGGTACATACTAATAGTTTATCACCTACTGAACAAGGTTCTAAAAGGTTCCTAGAGTATACATCCTTTCCATGAATATTACCAACATTCCAATTAGCTCGGTAACTAGCAATATTCTTAGGAAAAATTCGTCTGAGTATAGCATCGCGTGACAACCACTTCCGAATTTCTCCGTCATAGTTTCCGCACTACACCTAAAAGACCAAGATGGGTTAAGGGCTCTACGGTCCTCAGCTTCAGCAAGCTCCCAGGTTGAAATCAGCACGTCTTCTCGATTTCTCGGTAAATGATACTTTATTGAAGGGGCCTCCACTGAGTGGGGGATCTCATGTCTCCTTTTTTGGGATTCCTCCCTCAAAGTTAGCATGACTATACCACCCGTCCTATCTTAAGTTTTCTCTAGTCTGGGTAGAGGACTCATAAGAAATCACCAAGCACCTTGGAAACCAGGAAAATCCAGACAAACATATATACAACATATAATATACAACAAATAATAGCACATACATAATATAAACAAAGATAGGCTCAACCCACTTAGAGATGGACCAACATTTGGTCGATCTGTCCCCAGTGAAGTTGCTATTTTTCTATAGCAGTAGAAATGTTGATACTAAGCCATTGTATTGACTTGAATCGCACAGATCAAAATAAAAGTTGCCACCGCGCTTTGTTGTTTCCAAAGGAAATGGGAAAAGAGAGAATAAACCCAAAAAGAGTGGGAGAGAATCTTGGTATGAGGGTCGTTTATTCAAAGGGAAGGTATAAACACCTTAAACATCTACAGTGCTTCATTAGAACCTCTTTGAAAATTTGTGTATTTTGGCTATAAAAGGTGTATACAAAAATAGATGGCGGGGACGAGAAAAGAAGTATTTTTTTTTTACAATTTTGCACCCGCCGCAGTTACGAAACTTTAGTGCCTACGTACCACCTTTCATGCAATAGGGGATCAGGATACTCGTAGTTCACCTCAAAAGTTTTAAAACACATGTGTGTTGGTTAATTTTAAGAGAAGAGACATCATCGTCATATTCGAGTGTAAAACATACTTACTACCCACAATCATGAGAAATGAGAATTTGCATCATCTCAAAATAGAGGATATAGCTTGGATTTTAAAATCAACAAAGCCTCACCCAACACCCAAGTGGAAAACATCTCACTTCACTACATATCGTAGAAGTATAGTAGCTCGCATCACTATAAGAGTCGACAAAAGTCTAATATTTTGAGAAAATGTTTAAAAGTAAAAAGTCAAAGTGGAAAAATGGATTGAATGAGGTTAATTGACTTTTAGTCTTCTCACAAAAAAATGTCAAAGTATGATTAAATTAATTAAAGTTTGATTAAGAAAAGATTTTTGAAAATGCATGGACCTAAGCCCAAGTTTATTATGAAAGAGGTTCAAGTTATAAAATGAGAAGAGTTTTGAAAAGGAGGGAGAAGATTTTTGAAATTAAAGAAGATGGGAGGAGATGAAGGGACTACCCTAAAGCATAAAGTAAAATATAAGGAAAAGAACCATCTAACTAACAAGAAGCCAACACTGGACATAAAGAAGTCAATGTAGAATTCCTATCCTTTGGATTGAAACCAAGCTAGCAAAGATACTAAACCTCTCAGGAATACCAAGCTTCAGATGAATTAAGTCTTCACAAAATTGGGCAGAGTAACAGTTGTATACAGAGGAATTCTCATTCACAGATAAAGCATATAATCAGAATAACATGCAAACAAAGAAAATCAACCCAGTGTCTTAGGGTAAGCCTCAATAAGTCCAGACAAAATAACAACATAGCCACAAGGTCCCAAGTATCAAGGCTTCTAATCCTAATCAGAGAAATCCATGACTCCACAATACCAAGGATAGTAACCAAGTAGTCCAAGTAACCTTAAGACTTTTAATGTTCAAGTTGGTTATTAAGTATCTTCAAAAGAAAAATAAAAGCTCAATTGAGCAAAAATAAAATGGCATAATGATAAATGTTCAAATGAACAAAAGGAAAATAGCACAAAATATAAATTCTAAAGTAAATGGTGCATAAAAAGTAATGCATAAATTAAAGGGCATAAAGTAAAATCACAAAGTAAAAAAACACAAAGTAATGTCAAATTTTAATGAATTAGAAGTTAGAGATTAGTTGAATGACCATCTTGAAACTCGCATTTGAAAACTAATTAGAAGGTTGATAAAATCAAAACTTCTCAACAACCAGTCTCATTTGCTTTTTGTCAAGTATATCATTCATTTCAAATGCTCAATGCAACCACTTATGATCAAAAATATTTAAATGATTCACTTAGACCAAAATTTTTGAAGTTCATTAGAGGATTAATAGGATCAAGCTTCCTAACAATAAACTTTAAAGTTATTAGATACAAGATTTCAAATTAAACATACCTGGGCATGCAAACAAAGATTTTGACCACAAATGATCATTTCTAGAATCAAGACAATTTTAGCGCTATGTTAAGCAATCGTAAGTGGACTTATGTAGAAGTCACACCTATTTTGAGGCCGGTCAATAACAATGTATGTACTACACAAGTTTTGAGATGTGATAGAAACCACACGCATGAAACTTATAGTACAAAAAAAGTAAAAAAGAAATAAGATGAAAAAGAAATAGATAAGAATTAAATTCCACATTTGAACCAAAGAATTTAATCGAGCTATCATTAAAATCATTAATCCATTTTAGTGGAGTTAAACTCAACATCCAAGATCCAATGATGTTAATGAAGCTCATGATTAAAATTCACATAGATTAAGATCAGCCAGAATATATACAACAATAAAACTGTATTTTAATAAGCAAAATAGAATGAGAAAATGATTTTAAATTGTTTTTTAAAATAAAAATAAAATGAAAAATAGCAAACTATATTCAAAATATCAAATAAAAATTGAAAGAGACCATAGAAAAGCAGAAGTGAGCTCAAATATTTTTACAATTTTTTTAGTAATTTTTGAAATCAGAAAAGTATTTTTAAATTAATTAAATCACTCAAGTAAGTGAAAAATGATTAAAAATAATAAAAATCAAAATAAAATTACAGAGAAATTCCAAAAAGTAAGAAATAAAGGAAATAATTTTTGTGAAATTTTTTTAGAATTTTTAGAGAAAAAAAAGAATTTATTATAAACTTTTAAGTTTTAAAGTGAATTAATCAATAAAAAAAGAAATTAAAACAGATTCATTGTAGCCATTAGATCTAGTTAAATCTAGTGTAGTAAACACATCAGGAGGTTCAGATGTGTAGGCCTATAATTATACTGTGTACATTCACACATGGGATCAAATATCAACACCACCTTCTCAGATCATCACAAGTGGCACCGGTGGCCACTTGTCACCACCTTAATCGCCAACATGGTTCCCAATGAGAAAGAGAAAGAAAATAAAAACAAATGTAACATTACACTCTAGAAGTTACTGTGAGTTGTTAACTCCTTCTAAAAAACAGATTATACTAAAGAGAACCCCCTCTCTCTCTCTCTCTCTTTATACAACATCATCACATGTGTCTCATAATTTTCCTCTTCCTTGTATCACAGAACCAAAAAAAAAAAAATGAAAACAGAAAGAAAAGGCGGAGAGGGGATGAACACGACATCCAGAAATGGAGTTCACGGTGGCGGTCGGCCAGAGCTCGCGGCGGCGCCACCATGAAACGTCTGATTTGTAATTTTTTTACAATTTTGATTTGGATTCCTCTCCTTTTTTCGAATTCGAAACTATTTTTCTCAAAAACTCCACCATTTTCACAAGATCTACAAAAGTGTTTCGAAAATATTTTTGTTCCAAACAACAACAACAATCATAGAAATGTAAAGAAGAGGGTAGATTAAGCTTTATTAAGGGATTATCAACCTTCTATGGTGAATGCAAGGTAGAACGAAGGTGGTCAAAGAAAATTCTCGGCGAGGAGGGTGATTCTGACGATGGAGGGTAACTCAGGGGCGGCGGTTTTCTGGCAAAGCAGTGAGTTCCGGCGATGGTCTTGAGTTGCTCAGGGGAGATAATGTTTGTTTGATTCTGAGTTTGTATATTTTGTCAGTCGATTCCATCTTTGACAATGTATCTTTAATGGTTTTCTACTAGTAGAAACTTAGGGTTTGAGTAGGACAAAATTTTGGGCTGAGACTTTTGAGAAATGGAATGTTGATTTTTTTGCTTGAAACTATTCCGAAAATCCTTTCTTTAGGTCCAATAATTTCACTTTGTTTGTAAAATTTTCCTTGTTTATGATGCTAATGGGCCTTGGAATTCTGTAACCAATATCACGGCCCTGCTTTTTTTTGAATGAAATTTGTGGTTTTGGTTCTTGGTATGAACCGTGGCCAGCGCTACAACACTTATTATCCCCTCTTTTCCGATTTGTATACCCTGAAACTTGTATGCCAACTATGCCCTCTTTGTGTAATTTCTAATTTTTCTTGATATTTGGAAATGTTATCAAATGGACGTGTATGCTTTCTTCTCTCTATTTCCTTCCTTTTCATGTAATGAGCAATGGTTGATATATGGAGAGACAACCTTGAATATGCAAAGATAACCGAGGCCATACTTGTTTGGAGTAGATCTTGAAAGATGCAAAGGTTATGATCATGGAAAATGATACCTAGGCATAGAAATTGAGTCTTTGTAAAATTGATGTTGCCTCTCGAAATTTAGGCCATAGAATGACTTGAATTTTCTTGTAACATGATGATGTAGTTTGAAACTAGGCATTAGAAACTTGAGATAGAAATCAGGACATTCGTAACATTTAGTGTAATTTGAATAAAGAACTTGAAATTTTTTGTAAGTTAAGGGTGAGAGTTGAAGGTTTCTTGAACTTTGAGAAGAACTTGACTTGAAATTCCTTTGAATCTTTCTTGATGAAAAAGTCTTGAGATATTCTTGATAGATTGTCTAAAGAAACTTGAATACTCCTTTTTACATTTGTTGAAATTTGTATGGAAAATGTATTTGGATTCTTGAGATGTGAATGATGAACATATTTTGAAACCATGAATGCTCTTGAATTGGAAGCTTGAAAAAAACTTTAGAATGATTGAATGATGAATAATTAATGAAGTTGAATCTTGAATAATGTCTTGAAATCTCTTTGAATTTTCCTTGATGAAAAGGACTTGAAATGCTTAGAAACTTGAATTTGAGAATGAACATTGCCTTGTAATTTCTAAATTCATGAAAACAAGAAATTCCCTCCACCTTTTGAATTTGAGAATGGAGCTTGAATCATGAATGGTAATGCCTTATAATAAACTTTGCACTTCTAATTGGAGTTTCTTTTGAATTTTGAGAAGGCATCATATGATTTAAAATCTTTGAAAATTATTGAACATCATTGAATAAACCTTGATAATTTTGGATGAACCTTTGTGTTTTCAAAATAATTTACATGAATGAGATTAAACTTGTATTTTAAACTCCATGTAATTATCTTCTCTCCTTAATTTGAATCAAATGTTTCAAACAAAATAAATGTTCAAGAACTTAGTGCCTAAAAACCTCAACGCAAGCAATCAACACTTTAATAAAGTAGCCATGGTATAAATTGAAATTAGAGGTTATGGAAGTACTAAGTCAAAAATGACCCGTAAAGTTTCAATAAATTTCCGAGTACAATTTGATCTCGCTCCTTGAAACAAACTTGTAGACAATTCTATTTGTGACATATTGCAAAATGAATCGTCCCACAACAATGGAAATTGAAATAGTTACGATCATCGAAAGTTGGACGACCGACACTTTGAAAATAGGTCAAAGTCCTCAAAACAACCTCTAATATACTCAAGCTTTTGATAGCCTTCTACACATAATTAGCTCTCGACTTGTAAAGAGAAATTATAGATGACGTCAAGGAGATTCATATGCTTGAAAAAATCAACCAAAAATACTGAATAATGAAGAAGTTATGATTACTTAAACTCAAACTTGTAAACATTGACTTTCAGTCAACCAACTTTAAATTAACTGCAGACTTTGTCTTTCTTCACAATCCGAAGCACTCTTAATCACAAATGGACTTGAGATAATGGGATTCTAATTAAAACATGTTCACCCTTGTCAGAATTCAAGAATATTTGTCGAAGAAGGCATGCAAATAAACACACGAACCTATCTCAAAGAGTCTTGAGAATTAGGCAACCACACTCACCTTAACCATGTTGAATGAAGCTTGAAGATAGAGTTACCTAAGATTATAGATCACCACTCTAAAACATAGGCCTTTCAGAACCATCAGCTGAACAAAACCACAACCATAATCGGAGAACCATCAGCTGAACTCCTTGATCTGAAACCCTGTCTTCTAAAAGAATTAATAAACAAAACATATTTTTGGATTTTGGTTAGAGGTCAGTAAAATATAAAACTCATATATACAAGATACACAATTAAGGTGCTTGGTAATCCCTCAAGAGAAAACTTAAAGATAGGATGAAGTTGAATAAATACCCAAACCCTAATGTGTGATCTTGATGTATTGATGATATGAGATGATGAGAAATCTTGGGGGGGAAATTGGGGTATAACAGGTTCCAACCCCAACCGCAGCAACTTTTATTATTTTCAAAACAAGAATATATTTTATCTCGGTTTATCAAAATAACCAAGGGGTAGGATTATTTATTTATTTTTAAAAAAATTGTTACATTGTTTATCCAAAATTTTACATTGTTTACCTAGAATATTAAAATTAAAATTAAAATCGAATTTCCAGGGATCTAGATAAAAGTAAAATTCCCTTAAGAAGTAGACTTTAGATCTTCAAATTATTGAATATAGGTGAAGATCAAATATTGGGTGCAAGAATATTCTCTACGAATCTTACATGCATTTGTTTCTAGTAAAAAAAGGGTAAGATAATTAATATCAATAATCAAAAATATTTTCGGTACAAATAAAAATTTAATAAAATAAACCTTGAATCCAGCTGCTTTTCTACTCTGGAAATCCATCGTAGAGAAATTTTCAAAGTGTCCTTAGGTTTCAGGCGCTTCATATGTTTCATTTATGTTAGATTTCCAATATCGTAAAAGAACTTATATAATAGATGTCCCTTAGTTTTCACGCGGATCACTAATGGCAGATTCTTGAGCGTTGATAACCTTTAACTAGATGACAAATATTTGTTTAAGGTCGTTGAAAATAGTGAAAAATAACACTTAACTATGTATTCTCTCGGTTTTGGAATAATACCGAGGGGTTAGATTAATTATTTTTTTCACAAAAATGGTACATTGTTTACCCAGAATATTAAAAATATATTGTATGCAATAAATCTTTTCAGTATATCAAGATTGTTTACCCAGAATATTAAAAATATAGCATGTCCAAGTCCCATACGAGATCCTAGAGACCTGTTTCCCCATGAGAATTTTTATTTTTCGCTGATATCCATCTTCTAAAAAGTTAAGCTCCCTTCTTTGTTTAAACTTTCAAAGGTTGAGCTCTCTTCTTTGTTTAACTTGAAGAAAGAATAATTTTCTTCACTTGCAACCTATCAAATGAGCAAAAATACAACAACATTTCTCCAAAAAAAATACAACATCATTTTGTGAGATAGATTACAAGGGCCTAAAAAATGTTTTGTTCTATATAGAAGAACATTGAAGATTTTTCCTGTCTAGCAATCTATCCTAAATAATGATGCGAGTTTGGGGCATCTTCATATTAGCACGGATTAGTGTAAAATATAACAATTGCTTTTATATTAAAATCTGACTATTATATTCCTCGGTTTATAACATTATTTTTATTTATTATTTTTTTAAACTATCACCTCGATTAAGGTTAAAATCCGAGGTGATAATTATTATTATTTGTTATTTTTTTAAATATTACATTGTCTACACATAATATTTAAATAAATTGTTTACAACAAATCTCCTCAATAGTTTTTCTGCACTTTCAATTCATCATATATGTGTTGATGCTTGAATGTCAGAACTTTGCATCCAAGATTGATGGTTGATGCTATCATTATCACTGCCTTCACTAGTGTATCCAATGTGCATGCTTTAAATACATCCAACTTTTAATAAGGTGTTTGTTCCAAAAATTGGAAAATGCTTTCCTGCACTTGCAATCCATCCGTAAAGATTTTTAGGAATAAATCATAGTTGTTCAAAACCTTTAATAACAACAACAAAAACATCAACACAATTGTTTGAGATGGATTGCAAAAGCTGAAAAAATGTTTTGTTCAAGAGAAGAACATTTTTTTCCAGTTTTGCAACCCATCCCAAAAAAATGATGCATTCAACGGTGGGGTGGCTACAAATAAGATAACATTAGGGTGAAATTTGTTCAACGAGTGTTTTTATAGTAAAATCTGATTATTTTATCCCTCAGGTTTTCAAAGAAACCGAAGGGTTAGATCATTTATTTTACACTTGTAAACAAATAAAAACATAAAGTGCAGTAGCTGGGATTTAAAGCATGCTCGGAATGGTATATCACCTTGGTTTTTGAAATAACCGAGGGAACAAGTTCTTTTTTTAAAAATAAAATATGGCGCGCCTTGGAATAAAACCTCGTTTTTTTTTCTGGATGACGAAAAAGCTTCGTCATGAAAAGCGTTATTTGTTGTAGTGGTTGTTGATAGATTTCTTGATTACTAAATCTTCAAAACATTATTCCATATTTTCTCCCGTTTTGATGATGATAACACATCTCTCAAAGAGGTGGTAAAATAAACAATAGATATATGGTTGGAGTGATTAAACTCCACATTAATTAAATAAAGAGTATACTCTACTACCTTTAAGAGTATACTTCTCCCCTTCGTCAAAATAAAAAAGGCGGATAAAGATGCATTACGATATTTTAAATATGTAAACATGTTGGCAAATAAACATTTAGGAAGAAAAGAAAATACCATTTTATTTATTTCAAGGGAAATTTCAAAATGAAATTGCAACAAAAACAAGTAATAAAGGAAAACAAGAAGCAATTAGATCATCTCATCATCATCATCATCATCATCATCATCATCATCATCATCATCATCATCATCATCATCATCATTATCATCATCATCATCATCGCTTGACACTATTAGAGATATGAGATTTCTTTTCTCAATTTTCTCAATGAGTTTGTTAATATTTGAATTCATTGCCCTTTGATCATCATGAATATCATTGAGAGTGTCTGAAGAGGATGGATGAAGGTAATTGTTTCTTTGTTATCTTTCCCTTCTTGGAGGTAGTGGAACAATTTCTATTCTAAGTCATAGCCAGTGTAAACCAGAATTTTTGTGATTAATTTACCATAGAGTTGAACGATGTTCTTCTTTTTGTCATCCAACATGTGATGAAGCATATGATCTACCCAAATTTTCTCGACTTGATTTTATAAAAACCAAATAGTAGGAACATTTGATTTTTGGATGGTACTAAAGCTGCTTTTCCTTGGGAAAATAATATGATTCCTTGTATAATTAATCATTCCACTATCTGGGTGTAAAAGGACAACATTGAATGAAGATGGAATTCCATAAGATGGATCAATTAGAAGGGTGTGAGCATAGAGGTCAAAATTAAATTCATTA